CCATTCTTGTCCACCTTGAGCCAAAAAAAGAAGATTCATCAATGAAGTGCCATTTTTTTCATTATCCTATGTGACTTTTGGAAACTTCTTCAAACAATGTTTGGCAGAAAGGAAAATACAACTTGTTGTTGTCTCCATGAAATCCCTGGTGAACATTTATTAGTTCAACTCTTCTGAAAGACTATTCAACAGAGTTCCTATATGTTATACACAATCCAGGATAATTCAATTTTGCCTCTGTATTTTGAAAGTATTTTGAGAATGAATTCCTTCACAAACTGATGCCTAAAACTTTAAAATTTCATGAATGAAAAAAGTAAGAATCTATGAAATTTGAAGTTCTTGAGTTTTAAAATTGGAAGATTGGTTCGAAATGATGACCTATGGTAATCATGCAAGAGTAAGGAATTCAAACCAGCTTTTTAGACCTTGGCTTGGTGAGTAAAAGAAGAAAATTCTGAGGAAACAGGAAGTTTGACAAGAACCAGGCCAAGATTACAATAGTATCTTCAGCTGCAGAACATCCGGTATTGTGGAATTTTTTCCAGAAGTCCTTATCATAGAAAGAAGATAGTGACAGAAAAAAACCAAAGCACTCTCTTGAGAACTATGAGCTGCACATTTGCTCAAAAATCACTGTGGGAACTGTTTCACTTCAGCAAACACCACAGTAGGCATTTTTATTCTCCATCTTCTGCTTCCTATTTTTTTTTAAAGACCGACTGTGGAGCTATATTTTTTATTTTAATTCCAGTAGGACATGAGGCTGTTTCTCACAGTTTGTGTGGCTGCACTATGCACCTGGGCCTTTGCCCGAGGCGACAGTGATTGTCTTTGGATCGGGCATGCCCCCTTTTGTTTCGGCATGTGTCCTGCGGAGTATCAAGAAATTGCGTGAGTTTGCATTCTTTTAACACTGTGTTCCAGAAAACCAGTCGCTAAAATAATTTTGAATTCATTCCATCTGAAAGCCCGTTTATTTATCTACAAAATGATATCATATTCAATAGTGCACGTGAACATTTCGCGAAGTTATGATCATCTGAATGAAATTAGTTTGCTCGGGGCGTCAGCGAGTGACATCTATAAAATAATTTATAGCGGACGCGGACTTTGTTTTCCAGGTTCGCCAGTAGAGATCCCGGCATTGGAGCGTTTCCCGGATACAGTATTGAAACGCCGTTTGGACGCAGGTGTTGGACTGGGTCTAAAAAGCTTTGCTGCAACAATGAATTCTTTCAAACTTTCAACATTGATCTGAGGGGCAATAATGCCACAGAAAAGGCTCCAACAACTGAAAGGGATTCAAGGTTCTTGGATGACAACAATTCCAGGTTTGTTTTTTCTTAATCACACTGATGATTTTTATGCATTTTTTAAATTGTTTTTGAATTTTTTTTTGTTCTCAGAAAAGAGCCACCAAGCTTCCCAAGACAACCAGGCAATCCCAACTTTGGCCCAGAAGGGTAAAACATTTCACTTTTTGAAATTGAATGTTTGGCCACTTGAAGATATCTTTTAAAAGTGTAATGAACATTTAAATTCAATATACTGAAAATTTTTTATGGGGACAATCCTTTAATAGTGCATCTTTTCACAGGAGGGAGCCACCAAGCTTTCCCAGACAACCACCAGGCAATCCCAGCTTTGGCAATCTGGGGTAAATAAATAATTTAAATTCCATTTTATCTACTAAATTTTTTTCAAATATGTTACTAAAGCAGTGAAAGTGTATTATTCTAAATTTTTTTTTTCAGGAAAGAATCCCCAAGTTTCCCTAGACAACCAAGCAATCCAGACTATGACAATGATGGGTAAACACATGTTTATTTTCATTTTCTTTCAATAAGTGCTCAATTTCAATTTTTCAAATGTGTGATTTTTATTTTTCTTGAAGGTTTGGTGAAATTCCAAACAAGTCACAAATTCCTGGGGACATTACCAAGTGAGTTTCAAACTTTACAAATGTTCTTCACTATATGTGCCAATTTTTAAATTTATTTCTCTTTTCTTTTGTAGTCCCCAAAGAGGTTTGCCACCACCTGGTAGACAGCCAAACAGGTTCAACCCAGAAAGACCTCAGGGGAACTACCTGCCACCAAGATTCCCTGATAATTGATTTGGATTAACTCATTATATATCAAAGAAATTGCGTTACTTGACCTTTGCTTTGATGATAAATAAACAATATATTGAAGTCCTTACCATGCATTTTATTTCCTCCCACCCCCTGCTGAAATTTAATTAATTTTTCACAATTTTCAGAATTAGACAGAAAAATGATTTCATCAACTTTCATGTTTTATTTTGAAATTTTGAAAAGTTGGTGCAAAATTTTACGCAGGTTTTTTTTTAATTTTTTGGATGAAGGAGGTTATATTAAATTTCTGCAATCTGACTTTTCTTGAGCTCCTGATGACCACCAGAAACTAAAAAATAATGAAAATAGGGCTGAAAAATTTCAAATATTCCCCCTTCAAATGTCTTGATGTCAAGTTTTAATGGGAAAAGGTGTTCTCATTTTCATAAATTTGATGCTGATTGTGCTGAAATTGAAGGTTCGAAGCACGCGCCAAATAAATCAATAAATTTGAATGCGATATTAATTCTCACTGCAAAAAAAAAAAAAAAAAAAGAGTTGTG